TAAAGTTTTAAATCTTCTGAAAATGAAAGATTGAAATGAGTTAATTACATAATCTGAAAAGCTATAAAAAGACAACAGGAAACTAATAAAAAGAAAGAAAGGGGGCACAGAAATCACCTAGAACAAACTGGCACATGGTAGAACATGAGAGGGCAGTGCCCCAAACCATATGTTGAAGAATGAAATTGATAACAAGCAATAGAGGGGATTCCCTTTCCAAAGATTAAGAAAAAGAAAACGAGACCATACAAATGACTTGAGGAACAAGAGGAAAACCAAGTATAGTGGAATGAATAATGGGGTATGTCACTAAATGGGGTCCTACCCGTCACGCCTGCACTAAAGCTGACTTCATGAAATATTAGTTGGATTAGTTTTGGAATCAGACCCAAGTCAATAATGATCTAGCTGTTATTCTGAGGAAGGAGCGCATACTAGCTTCTGTTTTTAAAATGCATATAGAATTCCTGGGCTGACAGAGGAAGGGATGCATTTACACCTATGTGCATGTAATATTGGAAGGAAAGTCAAAAGATAAGTAATCTGTGAGTAAATACTTGCTAAGAAAGGTCAGAGTACAGTTCCTTTTGATGGGGATTTGTTTGTTTAAAGAGGGTGTTGGGTTCCCTAGAACTAGAGTTACAGATGGTTGTTAACCATCTTGTGGGTGCTAGGATTTGAACCCAGGTCCTCTGCAAGAGCAGTTAGTGCTCTTAACTGATGATCCATCTCTCAAGGGGATATTATTTATAATGCATCATTGAACAGCTTCTTTAAAGACCAGAAGTCCTGTACTGTTAGAAGTAGAATGCCTATATCAGACTATTTCTTAGACTGCAGAAGAAGTGGAAAAAGAAGAGGAATAAACAGACATGGAGCAAGTGAATCAAAGCCAGTGCTACAAAGTATGCATTTACTACTTAAGGAAACCGTAGGTGCTAGCTGCAGGCACGTTCCAAAGAAGACCCTGCTTTAATGAAAACAGTATGTATTAACAGAATAGTTGTAAATGACAGTGGTGATGATAATTTTTTTAGTCTTTACTATGACACCTGTCACTGAGCTTGGTGTCCTTTACCTTCACCATCTTAATTCTCAACAACTCTGAGATAGTTCCAGTTATACTGTTGTTAAAGAACAGTAACTGCCTTGAATACAGCCGGAGAGGGACTAGGATATAGCTGAGTGGTAGAGTATCTACCTAGCATGTGTGAAGTCTACCCCAGTTTCAGCCCCCAGGACTGCCAAAGAAGAAAAAAGACAAAGAACTGACGCCCTAGCTTCATTTCTGTTACTGCAATAAAACAGTCTTACTGAGCCAGGGTGGTGGCTTAAATCCAAGGAGGCAGAGGCAGGTGAATCTCTGTGAGTTCAAGGCCAGTCTGGCCTACATAGTTCCAGGCAACTTAGAAGAAAGGGTTTTATTTCAACTTACAGCTCCAAATCAGTCTATCACTGAGGGAAGTCAAGGCAGAAACTTGATAACAGACCTGCTTGCTGTTACATACAGCATTACCTTTGACCAAGGAGGTACACATACAGCATTATCTTTGACCGTAGAGGTACACACAGGATGCTGCAGGCTAGCTGACTTGCAGGGTAGTTTATTTTCAGGTTTCTTATACAGTTCAGGACCACTTGCCAAGGGATGGTACCACCCAGAGTGGTATGGCCCTCCTACCTAATTAACAGTCAAAATAATCCCTCACTGACATGCCCATAGGCCAGTTTGATCTAGGCCGTTCCTGAATTGAGGCTCTCACCTCAGATGACTCTAGGCTTTGTGTAGTTGACATCGAAAGCTAACTAAGACAACTGCATCCCTACTTTCTTAGGTGAATATGCTCTGAAATGCATTTACTCCCAGGAAAGAATCGTTGCAAGGCCAAATGCAAAAGAACATGGCTACTCCTGACAACTCATGTTTCACAGTGGGTGCCCAGAAGTTGTCATGTGTTTTCCCAAGGAAGTGGTGTTAGCACAAGAACTTGTTTACCTGTAGTATGCTCAAAACCATCATAAAAGACCTTAACCACTTTGTTTGCTAGTGTTTCCATGGGAAATGTCACTCAAGAATTTCCCTATGAATTGCTGTGGACACATTTCTCTATCAAAGGAGTGTGGGGACAATATGGAAGGAGCTATAGAATCATTATATTCAAGTTCTGGCTTCAGGCCCAGTGGTAATTGATGGAGGAAGGTGGATGGAAGAATGAATGAAACTAGACACAGGGGCCCTGGGCCTGGAGATCTTAAAAGAGGAACAGGATAAAGCTCGTTAAAGAGAGAAGTTGGGGAGGAGTTCCAGAGGAGGGAACAGCAGTTAGAGTTCAGAGACCCAGGACTCATTGGGTCTAAGCCTTCAGGCCTCTTCTCTGAGGCAGCTTCTTGCTCAGTGTTTCTTCTACTGACCCAATAAATTTGCCTCCCTGCTTCCCTTTTTAAAAAATATTTTTTTATTTTTATTTTATGTGTGTGAGTGTATTGCCTGCATAAGTAAGTGCACCCATGTCATGCAATGCCCACAGAGGTCAGAAGAGGGCACCATATCCCATGGAACTGGAGTTAGAAATGGTTGTTAGCCATTATGTGGGAGGAGAATCGAACCCGGGTCCTTGGCAAGAGCCAGTGCTCTCCAGCTCCTCCTACCTCTCTTTTACTGTTCACACATAGGCTTTAGTGAGACCAAGATAAACCTCATGGCTGTTTGCCTATCTGATCCTAAGGCACTTTGTTTTTTTTTAATTCTGTGAAAGAGCCTGTGCTAGGCCTTCTAGTACTTCTGTTTCACCTGGACCTAGAAGAGCAATATCAGCCAACAGATGCTTAGAGAGGGTTTGTGAGTCCATAAGCGGCTGAAATCAAATGCATGTAAACAAACGTTTCAGATGTAAGTAATCAAGTCACAGCTTGAGGGAAAGAGGAGGAGGCCCTGCTCCTTTTTCTCCCATTGCTACAGTTACCTTGATCTCAAAATGTGGGGAGCCTGGCCCCAACTTGCAACTTGCCAGAGGGGAAGGCCCATAATAGACACCATGGTCCTGGTGTCACTGATGGGCTTGTTCTCAAGAGGCATTTCTCTTTCAGGAGTGTGGGACCACTAAGCACCTAAAACTCTACCCGCTCCAAGTACACCTCTTAGCACCTTTTTCTACCTAGTAGCCAGTCTTTCCTCCACCTTGCTGGTCTTAGGAGTTCCCTAGACGATTATAAAAAGCCCAGATTTACAAGTCCTCTTCCAGATCCACTGAGTCAGTATCTCCAAAGGGAGGACCTGGAAAAATATATGATTAATAAATGACCCCAAGTGATTCGGGTCCAGGAAGTCTGGCAAACACTGTGTGACTAGCCCCACCTCTGCCCTCCCCTCTCTCCGGCCCTCAAAGGTTCTCAAGACATTCTAAGCCCTGTCTTAGATCAGAATCATTGATCAAACCATTTCTTCATGAAAATATTCTTTCCTGCTCCCTCCTGAGCAGTGCCTGCTTCTCAGAATGCCATGACTAAACGAAAGCACTTCTTCAGAAAGACCTTTGACCTTGCTCTTCACAGCTGAGCTCAGACTCCGCCTCATTCTCCCCTGACCAGTTGTGTTTTTTCTCTTTAGCATTTATCACACATTTGTGTCTCATGTATTTGCTTCAATGTCTGTCACACCCCATTATGAAATATCGGCCATGCTTAGTGCTTTTATGTGAACCATTTAATGGGAAAATCATAATAGAAAAGGGGTTCCAAAGATTGGATTGGATAATGCTCAACAATACAAAACCAAAGGCAGGAGCAAATAACAGCTTTACTCTCCCAGCCAAAACTTGTACATGCCGACTGAAGTCAAGGTAGATGTCCCTAATACGTAAATGTACTTATAGGAATAATGGCACAAATGCTTTCAAAAATGTGTATTAAATATCTGGTATAAGCAAAATGCATCAGATGAACATGGGTGTTAAAAGTCTCTGTCTTTAAGCTGGGAGTAGTGGCACACACTTTTAGTCCCAGCACTAGGGAGGCAGAGACAGGCGGATCTCTCTAAGATCAAGACCAGCCTAGTCTACATAGCGAATGCCAGGCCAGCTGGGGCTACAGGGAGACCCTGTCTCAAAAAAAGACCAAAAAAAAAAAAAAAAAGAAAGAAGAAAAGAAAAAGTCCCTGTCTTTATAGAGCTTATATTTTAGTAAGGATGACAAGCGTGAAGTATCTATTAGCATAATTTAATTATAAATTTAAAACATACTGATGAATGCAATGAAAAATCACAGAGAGCTGTAAGAGCCTCTAACAAGGAAATCTGACATGGTCTGTAGGCATCATGTCAGGGATAGATTTTCTGAGACATGGGGATTCTCTGAGAGAGAACCATCATACTCTGCTTCCTGCGAAGCTGGCCTGAGAGGAGGTGCTGTTTCAGCTGAACATGTGACGTATTGTACTTGCTAATTCTTTAGGGGCACTGTCCTGTGACTGTGGAATACTTAGTGACATTCCTGGCCTCTGCCACTAGCTGCCAGTAGCAACCCACTGTGTGATAACCACAAATGTCTTAACATTGCCTAATGTCCAAGGATGGTAGTGACCAAGCCTGTCCTTCCTGCCTTCCCCAGTTGAGAGCCACTGCTCTACATGAGATGTGATCTTTAAAAAAAATGTGTCTTACGTTTTTTCTAAGTCAATACCAGGAACTAAATGTATTCATTCTCTAAATAGCTCCTTATTGAGTAGGAGACACTGTGGTGGCAAAAGCCCATGTTTTCTATTTAGGGAGAGGTGAAGGGTCAGTTTTGAAATGCGTAGTATTTCAGGAAATGTTGTCTATTGACGAATGAAGGCCTCTGTGGTAATAAGTCATTTGAACAAAGTCTTAAGCAAGGGAACAGACTCCATGAGAGGAAACACTAAGAGCAAGAGGCGAAGCCATTGGAGGCTCTGCCCTTGGCCTAGCCTTTCCATCTCAGCACCTTTCTGCCTGCAGGTCTGACCAGGTTCCTTTGTATTTCAGAGGGTCCTCTGCAGAAGGGCAGCCGAACAGACTCCAGAGCAACCTAAACCCTGCAGCCTTTATACCCATCACCAGCTCCACAGGTTAGTGGCACCAGCTCCTCCTTGGGTGGGGCAGCAGGGAAGGTAGCACCTGGAAATTCTCTTCTTTGCCACTGTCAGAAACACCTGAACAAGTATCCAGCTCAAGAACAAGTGTCCAGCTGAAAGCATTGGCAGACAGGAATTTTTGTTATATTCTTCTTGAAAATAATGTTGCAGCCTGTGGTAGGCATTTTTTCAAACTGGTTTGGGATAAATGCAGCACCCTTGTCTGGTAGAATACTCTCAGAGTTGTAGCATGTAGCACACACTTCCTGTGTGAGTAAATACTTCACTATCTCACAGTATTTCCACATGATAGATCTTCCACTTAATCCTTACAACAGCCTCATGAGATCCACCTTCCACCTTCCCTCATGTTTGGAAACTGAGGCTCAGCATATTGAGTGGTACATGAATCCAAAGCTAGAAGTCTGGTCTTTGATTCAAGTTTTGTCGTGTTGTTGCCCTGGTGTGTTGACAGGGCCCATAGCCTCTCAATGAGGTGCATACATGTAAGTGAGGCAGTAGTGGGCCGGGGATCTTCCTTGTGCATAATAATTCACAAAAGCACACTAATCAGAAAACTAAAATATAATCATTTTGATTCAAATCAACAAACACTGGCTACTGAGCACCTACTGTGGAGAAGGTCACTTGGGTGCTGAGGTCTGCACAGCACAGGGTAAACAACATGGTATTTGCTCTGTTTGGGGAACCAAGAGACTCATGGCAAAGGCAGAGAGAGTGCCTATGAAAGACACTGTGGGCAATTTGGATACTAGGGACATGGGAAATGACACCAGACAACATTGACTAGGCCTTTGCTGTGCATTAGGCTCAGTGTTGAGTGCTTTGCACTGACAGCTCATTGTTTACCATGCAGGGACTGAGACCCCCCCACCTTATGGATGGAGAATCAACAGATCATGAAGTATCTCCAAAGTCTCCTGGCTACAACCACACAGTTATACCTGAGGAGTGGATCCAGGGTCTTTGGGGACTGGGGAGGACTTCCTAGAGAAAGAAACATCTAAGCCAAAACTTGAAGGTAGACAAGCCCACCAGGAGCAGGAACGTGTGGGGTGAAAGGAATGCCAGGCATACTGTACAATGCATTCAGTGGCCCTGGGCCATGCAGTTGTGTTGTGTTCTGCAAGCCCCACCTGTCAGTATGGCTAAGGAAGAGGGTTTGAGCAAGAGGTGACAAGAGAAGAGTGGTGAAGTGTCAGGACCAGTTCATGAGCCACGGAGGGAGCCTGTCATCGTCCTGACAGATGTAAGGGGCCATGGAGGAGTTCAGGCAGGGTGCAGGGAGTATGCCTCCAAAGGCAATGGCAGGTTCCCTGAGAAGCTTGGTTGTATCATGGGGATAGCTACATATATCTCGCAGATTTCTATGAGGATTAAATGAAGCAATATGTATGGAAAGGACTCTATTTCTACATCTGGGTTATTAGCTCATATTAATATTCTGATAAAAACATAAAGGTTTTTTCTCCTTTACAGTATTAGAGCTTGAATTCAAGTAATATTAGATGGCTCTATACTTATGACCCTCCTCCCAGCCTTTCCCCTGTTAAAAAAAGAAAAAAAAGAATTACTAGAATATGACCAGTTTGCTGTTGCATGCTGGGGATTGAACCAGGCCTTTCCCATGCTAAGTGCTCTACAACTGAGCAACACTCCCCGGACTTAGAACATGGCAGCTATTTTTAAGGAAGTAAAACTTCCACCTGGAACTGTGATGGAAGAGACATGATGACTGAGCATTGTGGGCAACTTTGAAGGAGTTCCATGGGTTACAGCACTCAGAGCCTCCTCTCCACGTGTGCTTCTGCTGGAGACATTTACAAGATTAGAGCCCCTGGCTGCCTCATGCAGGTCTACTTGAACAGTATGGAGTTGAACTCTGTGTGCTCTCTGAGGAAGTTAGAACTGTGAAGGGTCAGCTGGGTCATGCATGCAGCATCTTGGTAACCCCTGGAGATGTTATTTAGAAAATGTTGTCTTAGTCCTACTGTATTTGGGGTCAGCATAAACCATAGATCAAGAAGGCACATTCTTCTGTAGGGTAACAGCTAGATAATTCTTGCCTTGTTTAGGTCACGTAGTATTTAGTGCTTTGTCGCCTTGTGGATCTAGGCCTCTAAATGCTTTGACTTTGTTCTCTGTGACGTTCCTGGTATTCCTGGCATGTAAAGAAATACTGAAGACTAGGAACTAGTAAGTCAGAACTTCCCAGTACATATTACTTTCACCACATTGGCAACTGCTAGGAACTGCTCAGGGTACCACTAGTAACAGTTCTCTTTAAACTCGGGGGTAGGTGGTTGTCCTAGTTTGCCTCTCCACTGCTGTGACAAAACACTCTGACCAATACCGACTTGGGGAGGAAAGGGTTTATTTAGCTTCCATATCCCGGGTCACAGTTCATCAGGGTGCCCAAGGCAGGAACCTGGAGGCAGGAGCTGGAGCACAGGCCATGGAGGAGTGCTCCTTACTGGCTTGCTCCCCTGGCCCCTGCTCAGCCTACTTTCTTTTGCAACAAAGACCCACCTTCCCAGAGGTGGCACCGCCCACAGTGGTCTGGGCCCTCCCACATCACTCAACAATCAAGAAGATGCACCATGGACATGGCCACAGGCCAGTCCAATGAAGGCAATTCCCCAATTGAGGCTCCCTCAACCCAGGTGTGTCAAGTTGACACTAAAGCTATCCAGCACAGGGGTGTTACATATCTCTGCTGTCTTCCAAAGACCTCTAGCTTCTGTCTTACACAGTAACAGGTCCATAAATAGAACACATGTCTGTTTCCTGACCTGTTAACCCTCCTCTTTCACCTAGCTAACCCCATTTTTAAGATGAGTGACTTTGCTCTGTGGTCTTGGCAAAGTAGTGAGTGGTTCGTCTGCATTGAAAAATAGCTGAGTCGGGCTACTGGTGGGTTTGTTGCATTCTTTCTATTATGATCATTGGTGAGATGGCAAATCTAGCAAAGTGCCTGGAATGCTACATGAATGTTATCTTCCTTGACTTCCCTACCTCTGGCCGTCCATTCTAAGTGTGCAATGGAAAGAAGGGGGTAGAGTAAGCAGATGTGGACATCTTGGTAAAGCTAGAGTGAGGGCCATTCCAAAGCTCTTGGCTTTCCTTCATAGGTGTGGTGCTCCTTTTGAGCTCTGAAGTGCTAATGGTGAACTAAAATAGCAGAGAAGGCAAATCAGAAACTGACTGATTTGATCAGGGCAACACCATTACTGCAGGATCTGAACCCTCACCCCCTGCCCAGCCCTGCTTGCTCCTTACCTCCTGAAGAACTTCTAATCTTGTTCCACCCCCTTATTCTTAAGCTCCTATTGGTCTATAGTTCATGGGAGGAATCTTGCCGCCTGTTGAAAACCAGTGAGGGATGTCATTCACAGAAAATAAGAAGCAATGTCCTTTTCAAATGCTCGTCTGTGAAAGGCCCTGGTGCATTGTGCTACAGCTCTCTGCCCATTGAATGGGGATGGCATGTCAGTGTGACTGCCTGCTCAGCTCTGTGTCCTCTGTGTACAGGAGAAAGGAATTTACCTTAATAGAAAGTAAACCCGGAGGGGCTTACACCCTCAGGACCAGAAGTCATGTTAACTTCTAAGGGAACTTATTTGCCTGGCAGCTCTCAATGGAATGACCTCTTTTCATTATTTGATTCTTACTATTCTCATCATGCATTACATAGTTGGTGGAGCTCCTAGATGGGGCTGAGCATGAGGTTAAGAATAAAATAAGCCCCAGTGTCCAATACCCTCTTTTCTTTTTTCTTCCATTTTTCCCCTTGCTGGGGATTTAACTTTATGCCCTTTATTAAAGTTCCCAAAACATTCTCCTCTCTAGTACCAGGGTTGGGGGTTAAGAATTTGGCCTGATGAGGCACTCTTGTGCTGCTAGAAAGCAGAAGAGAAACCATGCATGGACTTGGTGTTGGCAGGAGGCATCTGAGAACAGTGACTCCCTTAACCTAATTTGGGGTTTTACCTCTTGTCCTTTGGGCCAAGATCAAATATAGCGTTAAGTAGGGATTTTTTCCCCATTTTTCCAGGATCCTTGGAAGCACCCCAAGTTATTTTTGCCAGATCCAAACCCCTACCCACACAATCTGGAGCCCTTGCTACAGTTAGAGGACAGAGAAAATCAAAGTCCATGAAGTCAGGGACAATTTAAGGTAATAGTAAGAATAAGAGCAGATTTTTGTCATTATCACTTTCTGACTGTGACACAGCAAAAGATTTAGTATCTATCAAGAGAAGCAATGGCTTCTTAAAGAGATAGTGCAGAGGCCAGGATATGGCTCAGGGGTACAGCATGTGCTCAGCATGCCTGTAGCCCTGGGTTACACCCCCAGTACCATAAAAGAACAAAAGGCAGTAAAATTGGAACTTTATAAAAACAAAGCACAGACAGACTCCCCAAAAACAAAGTCTGCTCCTATAATGTACTGGCCCCCCAGAAGGTGGCGCTGTGGCAGTAAGAACTTGCTCTGCTGTTGTTAGAGGCTTTTGTTTTAAAATACAGGGTCTTTGAGACAACTCAAAGGACTAAAGCCATAACTGAGTTTCACAGGTAAAGTATGACAGAATATATGGGAAAGCATGCTGCTTGGAAGACCCAATTGCAGTAGTCCCAAAGAGAATGGATATTTATTGTTAGAGAAGGCTTTTAGACTAGAGTTAGGTAGTTTGTGGACTCTGGGATAAATGGGATGGAGTGGGAGCAAAAATACTTTGTAAAGGTTTTGGTAAGGTTGATAACTGTGGTTGTGGCTTAGTGTTTAATGTGAAGAGACCCTGTAATTGGTATCAAAAGAAGCTCTAAAGCCTGTCCTACACCCATCCACAATAAGCCCATACATTGAAGGAATTGTCAACCTGGACCTTGTGAAGCTGTGTCTTCACTTCACTAATGCTGCCCTCAAGATAATACTGCACTGTAGCCTTCAAAGTTTCCCAAACGTGCTGTAAAGCATCAAGGCTATAATGATCCCTTTCTTCTTTGCTCGGCTCCACACACTAACATTAAAGGCACACTTCCTATGAGCGTAATATTCTTCTTACCTCTGGGGAAATATTTATAAACTTATTTGAGAAGCATTATTCATTAAAATACCCCAGGAGAGCAAAGGAGAAAGGAAAATTATTTACCCACCACAGGGTTCATTTACATTGGATCAGAAAGCTTCAAATATCTTTCCCCAGCCCATCTAAACTCTTTCCAGAAAGGAATGAGAAGAAAGACGGGAACACAAAATCCATGGCTTGGTCATCTACCAAAATGTACCAGAGAAACCAAAAACAACCAGAGTCCTGCGGTGCTACTTAGCCAGTGGCCCTTTAATGCTGATACTAGGCACCCTCTCCCATGATGATCAACTCATAAAATATAGAAAACTAAAGTGAAAAGGTCATTATTTCCTTCAGGAGACTGGCATCCAGAAGGATGAATGTGACAGCCAGCTCCAAACCAAACTGATGGCCTGCCAAGAAGTACTCAAGTCCATCCGCTTTCAGGGCTGTGAGACTTGGACCTGCACGGTTGTAATATTGCTTTTCCTAGCCTCTCTCCTAGTATCCCCTGTGATCCTCTCTGAAGGGAGCATGGCAATGTTGGGTAGTCAGCAAAGAAGCCTTGAGAAAGCCTTTCTCTTGATCTGTTCTGTTGCAAACAGTCTTGAACCTGAGCTGTTCATAGGCTAGGGATAGCTGAGACAGGAAGACAACATGCTAAGGGTCTTGAACATAGGCCTAGAGTCACTCACAGTCTCAAAAATCAACCGCCTACTTGTGGCACAGCTTCAGGGAAGTCCCACAAGCAGCCCGGCGTCCAGAGATGGCAGTGGGTCAGGAGGCCACCTTCCTTGAACTGAGGAATTGAGTAGTTGACAAAATGAGGAAGCAGAATCCCAGAGCCCTCCCAGCAGCATTCTTCTTGTTGTGAATACAGTGTAGACAACAGGAGTCCTTCAACTGCAGTCACCAGTGAGTGTCATCAGTCCCGATGGCAACCCTAGAAGCTCTTCATGTGAAGATTTAGATTCAAGAACATAGAGTGTATTTGTTAAACATGTTATACAGTACCGGGAAGATACCAGTTGTCCTCATCAAAGAGCAGAGGGAACTATGCTGAAGGATATTAGAAGCTAAAGCCTGTCCAAGACCCCTCTGTGTTGCCCCAGGCAAGTGGTACTTTCAAATACAGCCATTGTTCTTTGTGCTTAGATTCTGTATTTGTTTCTTTTGTTTCTGATTGTCTATATTAGCAGTGCAATATAAATAAATATTTTTTTTCTGTATTCTTGAAGCTCTGGTATTTAGAATTCCTGAAGACTTAAGAAAGGGACTGCCCCCCTCAGACCTAGTTCACTCCTGAAGCTAACCAACCCCAGGTTGCCCCAGAGTATGCCTTCTATATGCAAACCAACTAATCCAGGTTTATACCCTCAACAACCCACTTGATCAAACTCTCCCTCAGCAAGCCAACGCCTCTCGTGCCCAGAGCCAGGTACCAAGCATTTAAAGACCGCCCTCAGAGTTCCAAAACCCACTGGAAATTATTCAGAGTAGTGAAACTTAACTTGGGTACTTGCTAAGCCTTCCATTTAACACTAGTCAAGGCCTTTGCCTGTACTTCCCCACACTCCTGTCTTTTGGCTCCTGACCAGTACTTGTATTTTACCTGTGACCAGTGACTGGTGTGCACTGTTGTATTCCTCTCTGGGACCTATTTGCTTCTTCCTTTCAAGCGTTTCTCTCTTCCTCCTGTGGCCACATTGACTTCTCCATAGCATATCCAACATGTACATTCTCAGAACAAACAATGCGAAGATTTTCTTTAATTTGCAGCACCAGGAACCAGCCAAAACTATGAATTCAGTTCATATCACCCATTTCCAAACAACTGACTTAGCACTTTACCATGGGCCTCATCACATGGTGGTGGTTTAGCAGTGTGTTTTGCTAGCCTGATTTGGCTACAGCCACACAGAAGGATGCAAATCCCTCTGCTAGGCAGAATGACCTGGCTTCCAGCCAGTGAAACTCCATGCTTTCCTGTCCTGAGGCCTCTTTCTTTGCATTTAGTAACTCTTTGTACATTGAGAAACAAAACTCAGCTATTGCTGAACCACCTGGTTGGAAGTTGGGGCAAAGCAACCTGACTTTCAGTTTGGGGGAGATAGGAGGGTATTTCTAAGAGCCCGCCCAAAGGGGATTGGTTTGCATTAAAGAAAGCCAAGGAACTCTCTGAAATTGATTAAGAAGTAAGCTACTGCAAAAGATAACATCTGAAAATTGATACTGTCTCTTGCAGAGCTGGCAAAACCTCAAGAGAAGAGTGATGATTCTCCAGTTGTTAACAATTACTACTTTGTTAGAGACAGGGGAAATACAGCAGCCCCTTTCACAGATTATTCTTACATTGCAGAAGCACACACTTCTCTTGGAAAAAAAATGCCTGGCACTCTGCATTGTCAGACTTGTACCTACCACTGCATCTTGTAGCAGAGTTGTGTGATTCTGTGTAACCTCCTTTCAGTTTGGGTGGAAGAAGATCCAGTCCATTCTTGTAGCTCTGGAATGAACAAGTAACAAGTATGACACTGCCTTCCCCTGTGAGTCTCTATGCACATCAACCCCAGTTAGCAATCTAACCTCTGTGGTTATGAACGCACATACCTATGTGGTTAGTGAACCCACACACCTCGCTGCTAGGCTCAACGGGATGCTTGTTATAGCCACATACCTTTGCTTTACCATCCTTATATCCTTAGGACATAATTCTTCCTGAAAGTTCTAAAGAATGAAAGTGGCATGCTAAGCCATGCCTATGTTTGGAAAAAGCAAGCTTTACTCACGGAATATTTACAACTGTGCTTACCTGATGTGTACAGTTGGAACTGGGCTCCAGGGAGTGTAGGTGTTTAACTGCAGGGCTTGAAGAATGATGAGGTATATGCCCTGTTGACAGGATCAGTGTTGATATTTATCCTTTATTCTTTCAAATTATGAAGAAAAGACTCAGTTTCCTGTCCGTCCTCAGAGTGAAGAGAGTCACTAGTTAAACAATAGTCTCCTGTACCCCTCTGCTCTCACCTTCCAGTGCTTAGGTATTCCAATTAGCAGTGTAAATATCAAGGGGCTCTCTGCTTTTGAAACCTAAATCCAGGTAATCCAGTTACCTGATGCCAAAAGGAGCAACTTGAATGTGTGAAGTGTCCCTTTAGCTACATCAGTAGAACAGAGCCTGTGACCCCAGTACAAAATGGGGATAAAAGTTAAAAAGACAACCTGGTTGTGGGGTGATGAGGGGAAGAAAAGTCATCTGGCTGGAAGGTGCTGTAACATTTTTATGAGTTTCTTGTTATTAAGTAGAAAATTCACTCTTTTAAAATGCTGTACTGAAAGGCTTCAGGGTTTTTGTCCCCTTTCCATTGACTTCTAATTGCTGCCTGTGGGAATTTGACAAGGTTTTAAGTTTATTGTTGGCTAAACTGAAAAGTTTATTAAATAATGGACCATTTGTGGTTTTTAACCAGATATTATAATGCAGAATTTTTAGATATAAGACTCTTCTCAGATTTCTGTCTTTCTGTGTGTTCACCTTTCTTACAGCCATGCATGTGCACATATACTTAACCCTTTTTTATGCAGAGGGTCTGAGTTGTCCATGTTAGTCTTTTGGTCATTAAAAAAAGAAACACATCAGGGGCTAGCAAGATGGCTCAGTAGGTAAGGCACTTGCTGTACAAGCATGAGGACCTGAGTTCAAATATCTAAAACCCATGCAAAGCCAGGCACACTGGTGGGCATCTGTAATCCCGGTAGTCTTTGCAGCAAAGCGGGAGGTAGAGAGAGAAGAATCTCCTGAAGTTCAGAGAACCAGCTACCTTGGCATAGGCAGCACTCTACAGCAAAGAGACCCTATCTCAAACAATGTGGAAGGTAGGGACAAACACCCAAGGCTAGCCTCTGACCTCCACACACTAGTGGTGGCACACGTATCCTTGTATACACAAGCACAAGCATGCGCACACACACACACACAGCAACACCCTCCATGTACCTCTATGAAGGGACATAACTACATATAAACATGGAGAAGAAACAGTCTTAGGATCCAGACTTAAGAAAACTGCTACCTTATTTGGATAGTTAGTAGCTGTACTGGCTGAGTAGCAGCTATCAACCTCTACCTCTGCCCAGGTCATCTGTTGACTCCTGGACCACAGCTTCAGCTGCTAAGATTTAACAGCACTGGTAGACTCATGACTCTGCCTTGCCCAACAGATGCCCAGTTGTGGGGCAGAACTCTCCCATAGGTGGCAGCTGTCTTCCAGTCACATGCCAGCCTGGTGCTAGTGTAACACCAGCATGTGAATCAAAGTTACCAGTTGGTACCATGCTGGCACCTTCTTTCTGATGAGACTGAGTCAGCAGGCACAACACAAATTTTTCATCTCTAGCATAAGGTCTTAAAACATAAAACATGCAGGCAAAACACTCATACACATCAAGTAAAATATAACAGGTAGAGGCTGGAGAGATGGCTAAGAGCACTTGCTGCTCTTGCAAAGGACATGGGTTCGATTCCCAGAACACAACCATCCAAATCTCCAGTTCCAGGAGATCCGATGCCCTCTTCTAACCTCCTCGGTCATTGCATGACACAGGTGCACCTACATACATGCAGGCATTACACTCATACACATAAAAATAATAAAATATTTTTTAAATGATCAATAAAATATTTAAAATATATAAAAATATTAATAAAACAAAATAATAAAATATAAAGGGAAACTCAGAGCCAAGAATGAGAAAATTCAAAAATTTTAAATATAAGGTCAAATAGACTTACTGTCATTGAGGCAAAATTTAGTTCTGAGTCTTGAGTTAGCAAAACAAAAAGGAAACATGATAAATTGGAGTGCCTAGTTCTCATTATCAGAAAGAAGGGAGTGAGGGAGGAAGGAAGAGAAAGAGAGAAGAAGGGGAGAGAGGGTGGTAGGAGGGAAGGGCTTCAGATCAGTTGTAGAGTACTTGTCTAGCATACATTAGGCCCTGGATTTGAATCCCAGTACTACAGAAAACAAGTACACTATGGGGAGGAAAATTGAGCCTTTTCCTAGTTCTAATTCCAGAGGAGCTATTTAGCATGCTTTATATAGCAGTGTTCACATGGCAACTTCCTGTCATGACATACATACAGGTAAAATAATATGGTACATGTCAGTAAAGATGGCTCTGTGACAGCCCAAAGCTAGCATAGTCTAAATCTCTTTGCTATCCACAATCCCAGGGGTAAGATAATGCTTACCTACAGGTCTGGATGGATTACATGTGTCTTGGACCACCTTAAATGTGGCGTCTCTCAGGGAATTGCTTGATAAGCGCTAATTGGGTTCTTTGGCAAGAAGATCAGATACCTAGTTTTCTTTCTTGCTGTGTGAAGATGCACCCATATACTTTGGAGAGCAGGTAGTAGAAGTAAGATTTCTAGAAGCCTCTTCAGCATATCCTACAAGTGTGGGCCACCACAAAGTGATCCCAGGAACCCTCTGGGCCAGGTCCTGCCCTCACCTCCCTCTGCTTCCCTGGGCTGCACAATGCTCCAGCCTCTTTCCTGGACACCGGGGCTGACTTCTAGGCCCGGAACCGCCACTGCTTCCTGATCCCTTGCATCCAGACGAATTCAGTTCCTTCTTGCTCTTCCCAGGAGCCCTCTGGGCCTGGTCCCACCCTCACCTCCCTCTGCTTCCCTGGGCCTGCACAGCCTGCTGGCTTCTCTCCTGGGTAAGTCTGCCGCACCCTCGGCACCTTGACTCCCACAGCCAGTTCACCCTCCCATCTCCCCCACCCGCCTCTCCTAGCCTGGGTACTGTGCAATTCCTTGTCTTGGCACTCCATACAGCAGAGGAACCACCACTGCTTCCTGCATCCATACCAACCCAGTTCCTTCTCCAGGTCCCCAGGAGCCCTCTGGGCCTCGTCCCTCCCTCACCTCCCTCTGCTTCCCTGGGCTGTACAACCCACCAGCCTCTTTCCTGGATACAGGGGATGAACTCTCAGCTTCCTGATCCTTTGCATCCAGACAAACCAGTTTCTTCCTGCAGTCCCCAGGAGCCCTTGGGGCCACTTCCCACCCCCCACTTCCCTTTGCATCTCTGGGTGGCACAGCCACAAGCTACCCAAGACCACCCTCGCCAGGCCAGTCCAACCCCCAAATTCCTGAGGACAACATCTTTCCTAGAGGGATCCA